GGCATGGAAAATCATTTGCATTCATTTCATACATTCATTTACATTCATTTGCCCCTAACTTTTTTCATCGACAGTATTCCGTAAAATAATGTAAAGAACTTTTGTAGGTTTTGTTATTAGCTACAAGTTTTGCTCATAACTCAAATCTGTATCTCTTAAGCATCACGAACTAGAGCGTGCAGAACTTGTTACTGTTTTTCAGTGAATGTAAAATACATTAACTGAAAAACAGTAGTGGCTTCTGTTCGTTCTGCTTCGTCATGCATAAGAGATACGGATTTGACTTGTTAACAAAAGTTGAAGTTAATAACAAAACCTACAAAAGCTCTATACATCGTTTTGCGGAATGCTGTTGAAGAAAAAAGTTAGAGGCAAATGAATGTAAATGAATGTATGAAATGAATGCAAATGATTTTCCATGCCTGGTGGTACCCAAAGACCACAACCTTCTCAAAAGCCCAGAACTCCGCCCTATCGAACGGTATTGGGCCTTGGTCAAACGGAATCTCAAAAAGACTAATAAATCCATGGAAAACGAGCAGCAGTTTAAATCTAACTGGCCGCATTTCCAAGCACTCCTGGACGTAGATCTCATGATTTATCATTCCCGTAGTAATGAAAATGCCGCTGCCGCCTGTCAGACGAGATATTTTTTTCGGGAATTTCGATAGTTTGATGGTTTTGAAAATTTCAGCCACCTTCCCTTTTCCTGATGCGGTATAAAACTCCTGTTCCGGAAGCTGCTTGAATCCGCCTTCACATAAGTTTCGTCGTCCATGACGACACAGTCGAACTTTGTGAGCAGATTCGTATACAGCTTTCGGGACCGCTGCTTTGCCGACGTGTTTTGTTTGTAATCTCGGTTCGCCATCTTCACCTTCTTAAACGTCGACAACCCGGCTCGTTTCTTGACCCGCTGCACAGTAGTATGGGAGATATTGAGCTTGCCAGCAACGTCCCGGATGGAGAGGTTAGGATTCCGCTTATATTTCAGTGCCACATTCTTCGTCGTCGCTGCCACGTCCGGATTACGATTGCCGCCACTTCCAGGCTTCCTGGCGGTCGACAGACGCTCTCCGAACACTTTTAAAACGTGTGTCATGGTCGATTTGGCCACATCCAGCGATTTTGCCAACTTGGCGTGTGAGAACGTCGGATTCTCTTGCTGCGCGAGCAAACTTTTGACACGCTGCTCCTCTTGCTTGGACGTCATTTTGAAAACTGGAGAGCAAACGGTGAACACTCATCATAGGAACCATTGTATATGCACTCAACTTCCAAAAGCAGCATTTCAGGTTTTTTATGCATTTTTAACAGAAATACATCAATTTGAAGTTGACCAATTTTTACGCGTTCCAGACTTTATACAGCCCACTATGCGTTTTGAAGGCTATTATGGCGTTTTAAGGAAAATTTGGCGTTTTTAGATCATAGTGCTTGCAACGTAGTTTTGGCCCTACAATATCAGTTTTCAATATTGGTAGGTCGCAAAAATTTGAGAACCGTAGAAAAAACTTATAAAATTTAATTTAAAATATTCATTTCGAAAAAGTACTGTAAATTTCTGTTACTGTGATGCACATAAATGGAACGTCATATATCATGCAAGTTCACATTATTGAGGCGTTTAGACTTGTGCTGGTGTGCTGGTCCTAGTGTACTAAAACTGTACTAACTCATTAACTCATTTCCCCCTATTAATGAGTATATGTTACCCATTAATGAGTGACAGGTACTCATTATTAGGTAACATATACTCATTAATGGGGGAAAAAATAACTCATTTAATGAGCTAACCCACTTTTCTTCAAAATGGGTCTTTTTAACCATAAATGGGTTAAGTAAGTTAGCGTGTTTGTAAGCATCATTTATTGCAAATTACTAGTTTACGTGAAAGGATGTTTGCATGCATGCATGTTTACATCACCAGTAGAGTTCAGAATTTTTTGACGTCGGAGTACATCTTTCAGGAAGGGTGCCAAACCAGGGAAATGCAACGAAAATTGGTCAGACTCAGAGGTTTAAGTAAGAGTAATCTACGATTTACAAAAATTCTCCACACAAATCAGTAAAAGAGACTCATTCTCTGAGTAATATTCGTTTTCAATGTATTTATACTTGCCATCTCGGCTAAAAATTGGATATTGGATAGTCAAGCTCAGTGTGAAATTTGCATAACGAAGATGAACTAGCCTACGGCTAAAAATCTCCTAATTAAAGAAAAAAAAAAAAAATTGCATAAATTCCATATTTTAACTTGACAACACGGCCAGACTGCAGGTTTCTGTATTCAGTGAAGTTATTCGGATAGAGAATACCTATCACATGATTGGCCGCTTTGTTCAGAATTCACTCACCATGCAGCGCTAGTAACATTTGATTCAAAAGGCTTGCTTAAGCAGTCTACATTCTCTGAAAACGAATTTTATTCAGAGAGTGAGTCACTTTTACCTACACTCAAAAAATTCCACACGTTTGATCGAAGTGTTTAAACACTTGATTTTTTAAATGCACAATCACATTTACTTTAAGTGTATTTCACCTTGGTTCAATGTGTTATACACGTTAATTTCTAGTGTTTCAAACTTTGAAAAGTTGAAAATCTTTTACGATCTATTCAAGTGTATTGCACATTGAATCATACTACTGTTCAAAACAGATGGATTTAAAGTGTTTTCCATTTCAATACGATGTGAATTGCTTGCTCAGAAAGGTAAACATCGAAAACAAGAGTTGTGACTTTATCCTATCAAGCCACCTCACATATGATGAGAACAATCGTGGCACAGTGAGATCGAACGAAGACTCCGACAGCAGCACACCCCAACAGTCCATGATCGAATCCCAAATCAGGCCCATTAAAAAGATATGTGAAAGCTCTGGCCTCTGAAATTTGTTTATATATTTGTCGATTCATTTTTAGAGTTGGTAAAGTAGAAGTCGATAGAGTAGAATATTGTAGAATTTTGCAAAGCTATTGATATCACCATATGAGGCACATAGAATCCAAGTGTGTCACAATTCAATTCCATAGTGTTCAGGCATGGTTCATAGCATAAGATTCACACATGAAATGGATGTGTTTCACAATAAGCGCAAAATTAAGTGTGAGACACATGATGATGACGTGGGCAATTTTTTGAGTGTAGGTTACTTATGCGCTGAGTGACCAACACTTTGAGAAATGTATCCTTAGGAATGAGAAAAAGTTACTGAGCTAGTTTCGTTTTCTGTGTTTCGACTAGATAGGATGTTATTCAGATGGATAAGACCTATTGTATACTGGACACAAGGTGACGAGTCAACCGGGAAATCGTGTAAATGCCGGAAATTCTAAATCACCAGGAGAAGTCCGAGAATTTCGATGATGAACCGGGAAAAAATATAATTCGTCCTCTCTTCGAAAAATAATAATCTTCTCAAGTGCTAGATTTTCCGGATATAATCACTTTAAAAAACTTATTCGATATTTTTGATGAAAATTCCAAAGGAATCTAGAGGAAATTTTAGAATGAATTCAAGAGATAATAAGTTATGTAAGATAATATGTCCAATGGAGCTTTTGGAAGTATTTTTATAGAGTTTTGACTACAACGCCAAGTAAATTAAGTTCAAAGTAGAATTAGGGTTAACTACCCCATTTCCGGCCTATTAAGCATAACCCACAATTAGTCTTTCTTTATCTAGTTCAGTTTAGCACCAAACAGAATGTTACTATTACTGATGGCTACCAAATTTATTTACCTTTCCGTACGTACCGTAAGATTTGAAAACGAGAAACCAATCGTTGAGATATTGTCAAAAGTCCAACACTGCTTCTTGACGCCAAACTCGGCCTACGGCTTTTAAACTCGGCCTAACGCATTGAAACGCAATTGAAACGCAAATGAATTCACTTCGGCCTATCGGATGAAGATAAAAATTGATTCGGTCGGAGCGCTTCTTTTGTTTTTGGAAATAATGGGTGCAAACCTTCATACCATGCGTTCTCATTGACTTCGTTCGGTAGCTTATTAACTAAAGCATCGTACCAAACGCATAATTGACTTGTTAACTCTGAAATCATGGATTTATTCGAAGTTTTCTGCTCGATAGGCCCAAAATGGGCGATTAGGCCGAAGTAGTTCTCTACCCTTTTATGTGGTTTTGTGTGAAATTACATGACGATTGAAAAGAGAATTACAGGTTAATTTTTAATGAATATTCTAAAGAGAGTTTTTATGAGAACTTCAAAGAAATTCCGAGGGAATTGAGTTCTGAGGGAATATAAAATATAATTTCAAGTGAATTCTAATGAAAGTTCCAAAGGACATACGGAAAAAATATCAAGAATTTTAATTTTCAATTAAATTTTTAAACAGGTTATTTACAGATTTTTTACAGTTTTATTTAGCATTCCGCTAACAACCCAATTTCATTACTTCATTCAATAGGTTATTTTGTCATTTATATATTATTGAATGGAACAGCAAAATAATCTCGTTGTTCTACGTCAACAATGCGGTCGTGCTTTGGACACAACCCTCAACTTTTTTGTGACATTACAACAATTTCAGCATTAACAACGTGGGCCCTCAAATTCGCAGAAATTAACCTGAATTTTTAGAAGGTTGTAGGTTTCAAAACACTCAGATTCAATCTCACCTCTCAAATTGATTTTTTTATTTGCACTGCTGCGAAGTTAGTAACACTCGGTGTTGCATTTTATTTGTTTGTCGAACATTTTCGATAACGGCTCAACGAAAACGAGCGAAGATCTCTTAGGCAGTGTTGCAGCCGCAGCAGCGTTAAATTTTTGACAGATATGCTAATTTTTTGTTTAAATATTTGTACCAATACCAACCGACTTTGAATTTAGCACAGCATCTTGTGATATAAATTTCATACCACGCTACCGACTGGATTTTTTTTTTTCGTTCAATTGGTTTTTAAATATACATTACTGACAATCGAGTCTACGTGTTTCAAAACAATCTCGCTTAATCATGTTTCATTTTTAGCAAAACCAAAATGCTTGTCCTGCTTGCATTATTCATCCTAACTGTCGCACCGGACCAGATCGCTGGTGTGACCTATGAGTGCGAAGTCGTTGAAAACTACGACTCACACGGCCAAAAATACTGCGTATTCCGAGATGTCCAGTACTCTGACAACACTACGGATATCGCCTTCAAAGGACCAGCTGAGAAGCAACCACGCGTGGTTTTCGAAAACTCCCAGATGGTTCGACTTCCGAAACAATTTCTGGAAAAGTTTGGCAACGATCTGAAGGTGCTGAATGTATCGGGGTGCAATCTCACGTCGGTTGTGATAACCAAATCGATGGAGGAGTTGATTGCTATCGATAACTATATAAGCACGGTGATTGTCCACCAGAACGCGGCGAATTCTCCTATGAAGGAGATCCACCTGCAGTCGAATCGTTTGTCAGATATGTCCAACATTACGAGGAGCTGCAAGCAAGTGAGAATTCTGGATTTGAGCAGGAATCAATTGTTGGCCAAGGAGAGTGAACTGGATTTTTCCATGTTCAATGGACTTGATCAGCTAGAATACCTTTCGCTAGCTGATGTTGGAGCGTTATACATTAACTCAAAGAAGATGGTCTCTCTGCCCTCGTTAACTTTGCTGGATTTATCGGTAAACAGCTTGCTGCCTAAAGAGCTCCACGTCGATTACTTTCAGTCATTTGAAAAGCTCGAAACTCTACGGCTGAACAATAATGGTTTAGGCCAGCTAGACTACGCTGATCTCAATGGTGTCAAATCTCTCAAGGAGATTTATCTCGAGGGTAACGAATTCGGGTGTGAATATTTGAAGACAATGATTAAATTCCTTAACGACAATGATAAGAAAACACCAGTGGCACGGCCGGCTGCTAGTTGCCCTTCAGGGTACAACATTGTGCATCAGATGTGCTGCAAATCTGCAGATTTAATGAATATAGACATATCCAAAACATCACCTACGAAAACAAGCGATCATTCCACTGAAATACCTAATGGGTCATCTAGACCGGTTACAGTTCCTCAATCCCACCCGGAACCCGGAACATCCCAGGAGGGTGCTACCACTGTTGCCAGCAAAACCGTCAGCCCTTCGTCAAAGAATGCGGCTGCGATCGTAAAGATGAACATGGGATTTGCTGTTTTCGCATTGATTGCCATATTCCTGTCACGTGAGTAAGTTCGTAGAGGAGGTCTACAACCAAAGTCTGATACCAAATGAAAAATAAATCAATCTGGTTCTAACGTAATTAATATAGGCTTAGGTCCTACTGTTGAGCTTAGTAATTTTAGCGGTGCTTCTTCCTCTATTCTAAATTGAATGAAACAAACGAAAATAACCGTGCCCATGCACATGCCTCAACTTTGATGGCGTTCGACCTGTAAGTTTCGAAACAACCTTTCCAGCTTTTTTCCATGAATGTGATCCTCACACCCCGTGCTTTGCTCAGCTAAAACAGAAAACCACACTATAGGATAGATGGAAGTGCTCTTAAGTATTAACGAATAACAGTGTTTGGATGTATTTTGTCATCATCGACCGTGATTGCGTCGTTGGAATGTGTGAGCTTTTTTCCTCATCAGAATGGACAAAGTTTTGTTTTTAGCTTGGTTCAAGAAATCAATGTGGTAACACTTACGCTATATGTGGGGCAGCATAAAAATTGAGGAAGACAAATTCATTGTTCGCTTGGACGCTAGGAACTTCACGCAGAGGAACGAAAGATATAATTCGATTAGGTGCAGACGTTGGGAGATGTTAAGTAATCCGTTTGACGTCAGCTTTTGGTAGACTTTTATAGAGTGTGGTGGATAATGTGAACCAACGAATAACCAGTGATAAATGTAGGAAGACAGAAGGAGTAAAGTATGATGAAATTGTCCGTTTGTTGATTGGTTTTGGTTTATAAAGATAGTTTTGTATGGAAGTTAACCTTTCAGGAAGAACAACATGATTCACCATTGAGTTGCTGAATTTGGAAACGAGCACGCAGATTGATTGATTGATTGATTTCAGCATTCAGTTCTTAATAGGATTTTCCATGATGCTTTGACGATATCGCAACAGATTTACGGTCAATGTCGTAGAGAACAGGTTCGGCAATTTGAATTTGCCATCTCTTTCATTTTCCTTGTTACATAAAAACAGCAGGAGAATGACATTTACATTAACACTGCCGGCTCTGTCTTATACGGCATCAGTAATGTCGTCTAAAATTTGAGCTTGTTAGTCGCTTTATTAATATCAGGGTGCAACGATTTTACGACTACGGCACACATCTTGACCGCACACGAAGACGCATATCAAAAAGAATGACAACTCTGCCGGAATCTAAGGGATACATACAGTAGCGCTTGAACAAAGGTAGAACCAGTCTATAAAAAGAAAAAAAAAATAAAAAATACACAAATCCTGTCAGGCGGCGCCGGTGGTGTAGTGGTAAGCGTGATTACTTCTCACCCCAGCCGGCCTGGGTTCAATCCTGAGGCATAACATCTCTGAGGGAAGTAAAGCCGTTGGTCCCCGGTTCATGAGTTGATGGGTCGATAGGTAGGGTACAGGCACAGACAAACAGACGTAACTCTTCATTGTGTATCTTCGTTCATGCATTTAACGGTTGATTTGAATATTATCAGTTCCGCGAACTACTCGCCGCAGCGCTGGCATCGGATCACTTTGACGTTTCTATATATTCTATAGAACTTTTATGCAATATTGTTTACGAGTTAACGAGTAAGCTTGTTTTCCGCGAGAAGCCAGAGAGATGTCGCTACTGAGGTTATATGTTTTGAGATACTATGTTTTCAAGAACAAGTTTTTCAAAGAGTTAAGCAGCTGCAAACGAATTTGAACTTGCTAGGGACATCACCTCGAACAGTGGCTTTATAGAACTTTTGTCCGGGAAGCTGCTCATAATCCATTTTCACATTGATGCATCCTTCGTACTTTGTAAGAATCTTATTGTACAACTTTCGGGCACGTTTTTTGGCCACTAGATTCTGCTTCAGTGTCATGTTTGGTTGCTTACTGGCCTGAACAGTTCGGAATCCTTCTCGCTGAGGAATCTTTCTGGTGGTGCTTTGGCTGGCATTGAATTTCTTGGTGATACCCTAATCGTTCTCAACACCTTCAAATGCAGCTTCCGATCCTTAGTTCCACTACGACGCTTGCTATGATCCTGCCGAACGATAGTATGCCACTCACGGAAATGTTTGAGAACACTGCACAAGTATAACTTCTTTTAAACAAAATGAATCGTGACGAACTTTTCAGTAGAAGAGGATACATTTCAAAACAAACTGCTGTCAAAACATTTCAGATCTGACCGCTAGAAGGACTGAAGTAAAATAAACAGTGCGTCCAGATATTAAATGACTCAAGCTTTACTCGAATAATGAAACTGCCACTCAGCGATGCAAGGGGTGCGTTTCTATTCTAGTTTCAAATTGAAACAGTTCCTATAAAATACAACAGCATTGCAAACGGCATAACATCATAAAAGTCCTATAAAAATAGTTTTTTTTTATTTGTTGCTGTGAAGTTAATATATTAAGAACGACATGACATAAATAATTGAAGAACCTTTTTTTTTCATTTTAAATGGAAATAAAACCTTCACAGGTTCGATTTATAAGATGAATACCAACTTCTGTGAAGACATATCTGAGGTTCATGCAACTTGCATAATAAGTTTCTTCAAACATAGTGTGAGGTAGGCCATTTTCTCGTGTTGCACGAGAAATATTTGTGTTCCGGGAAAGCACCAACAAGGTCAGATGTACGTTTGTACTTGCCTTACCAATAAATCTAAGGCTTTGATATCCTCTGCTGTCCGAAGAAGTCGTCTCCACTCTACTCGATCCATGGCCACACGTCGCCAGCCTGGTAGTCTGCGAAGGGTCCGCAGGTCGCCTTCTACTTGGTCGATCCACCTTGCCCGCTGCGCGCCGTTCTTCTTGTTCCTGTTGGGTCGCTTTCGAGAATCATTTTCACTGGGTCGTCGTGCTGCATTCTTACGACGTGCCCAGCCCACCGTAGTCGCCCAATTTTTGCAATGTGGACGATGGATGGTTCTCCCAGCAGCTGGTGCAATTCGTGGTTCATTCGCCTCCTCCAGTCCTCCATGTTCCCTCATCCATCCGCACTCCACCGTAGTACCATCAACAACAACATCTTCCGTTCGAAAACACCAAGGGCGCGTTGATCATCCACGAGCATAGTTCAGGTCTCATGGCCATAGAGGACCACCGGTCTAATCAGCATCTTGTAGATAGTCAACTTCGTGTAGCGTCGAATTTTATTCGACCGGAGCGTCCTCTGTGCCATAAATTTCTCTGCGTCTTTAAATTTCTATGCTGGTATCATTTTCGGCGGTCACCAGTGAGCTCACATACACGAACTCGTCGACCACCTCGATTTCATCACCGTCAATCTGAACTCGGGGTCAGAGGCTAACATTGTCTTCCTCAGAACCTCTTCCTCTCATGTGTTTCGTCTGCGATGGGTTGATAGCAAGTCCAATCCGCCTAGCTTCAGCCTTCAGTCTGAGGTACGTTTCCACCGTCGTCTCAAAGTTCCATGCCATGATGTCGATTCCATCGGCGAAGTCAAGAAGCTGGATGGACTTCCTAAAGATCGTGCCACTCGTGTCTATCCCAGCTCTCCTTCTATCGCAATGTTAAATAGCAGACACGAAAGTCCATAACCTTGCCGTAACCCCCTTCGAGATTCAAAGCGACTCGAGAGTGTCCCCGATACTCGAACAACGCACATCACTCGATCCACCGTCACCTTGACCAATCGCGTCAGTTTTTTGGAAATCCGTACTCGTACATAATCTGCCATAGCTGATCTACGGCTATACGTTTATGCTGCGGGAATTCCATAGGCCATAATTGGAACACACTATCATAAGGTCATAGCTGGTACACCTACCCTAGGTAGTTGAGATGAATCCTTTCAAGATCTTATTTCATCACTCTTCTTTGTCGGCTATCCCACAGGGGAAGTTTCGGTTAGCTACGAAGTCTAGCAATCGAAATTGCTCATAAAAATATTAAAAATAATGAACAATCTTGGCACACTGAAAATAATCAACACCTTGAAAGTGAGTGAAACCTCCAACAAGGCTTGGTTTCCACAGAAATAAATTTGAACAGAAGTGGTTGAATGCAGATCAACAATTCTTGTAATGATAGCCATTTCATTGGAACTGAATGTTTGATTCCAAAAATGTTGTACAGAGTTCAATCGCACCATGGACTGATTCCTCGGTTTTCATGGGCATGCTAATTGAATACAATTACATGAAGGATCCAAAGTGAAGATGTATGCAGGATATCTAAATGTGTGTATATCAGTTAATCTGAATAAGTCACAAATGACCCAAGTGTGTTCAAGTGACTAACGGGTGATAACTAATAAATGAGAATTTTCACATGTTTTAGAAAAGACAAATTGATTTATTTCAAATGAAGCTACGACACGTTTCTACAAAAAAAATCAATGAACATTTGAATAAGGTACGTTATCAGCTGTTTGACGTAGCTTTGTCATGATGTGAGAACATGTGCATAGTACAGCATTTCAATTGATTTTACGAATGCAACTTTTGATTCGGTTTATCAGCTTATTACAATTCTTGGCCCTCCAATTGTTTGTGTACACCAACGAACTCATATTTCCAAAAAAAAAAAAATCTTCAGACAAGTTAGTTGGATTGCGGTTTTTTGTACACACGGGACATTTTAACTTTCCAAGAAGGTTAGTGTATTCTTAGCATAATGTGAGGATGCTTTATCCGGCAAAATCACATACTTTCCGTCTGCGTGATATTTTTGAAGAAATAGAATAAATTTTTATTCAAACATTAATTTTGGTACACTTCTTGGTTGATAGCCAAACCGCTAGGCTTGAACGATGGCTTAGAAATTCCTCTTCCCGATATAGCGATATACAGCTTCACTCTCTGTTCAAACTTGTGTTGAACTTGTATCTTACATTTGGAGATGTTGTACAACTATTATCTGAATAATATCGATCATTTCCAGGAATGTGAGATTTTGAGAGAGGAAAGTAACTTTCATCATCCAAAACGACACATTGTCTTGAGTAATTTCTTGTCATCCAACGGCAACGGTTTTCACGTTCGAAATTTGTTGATCGATGTATTCTGGAGCTCTTGAATTCTTTCGACAAACAATTCCTATCCTTTTCAACGTTTTACAGATGTGAGGTTGCGTCAAGGGGTAGGTCACTCCGCAAACCAATCTTGCGTTATCTTTTTTGTCAGTGTGCCGCAGGTGTGCCGATTGTGCCGGTCATAGAGCAAGCTGCGATTGTTTGTAAAATACCCATTCCAGCTACCCGGTATTTCTGACACCATAAATGTTTTGGTTTGAAATCGCAAGGATAAATCGGATTGCCGATGACGTGGAAAGTGGCGGGTGTGCGAAATGTTGGTGTTTTATGTTCATAGGATGATAAAAGTAAGGCTTTTAGAATTCCCTCAAAGGCAGACCAAAAACATAGCCTATCGTGCTTTGAAAAGCAACGGTCTATCAGCGGCTGGAAAGAGATGGAACCGACTATAGAGGATGACTCGACTTCTGTAGTTTATTTTGTATGAGTTGCATCATTATTTGAATTAAGGGTGCTAATGGGGTCTGAATAACTGCCCACTCTAGAACCTACAGTTCGTATATAAATCTATAACGGAGAAGTGAACTGCTGGTCTGAGTTCCTCTGGTATATTCAATTAGAGTATGTTCTTGAATACAGTCAACTTTTGCTCGTTCGGCTAAACCTATGAGCTAGTGAAAGGCTTTCGTTAGTTGGGCTGAGCTGTCAAGCTGAAAATTTGTTGAGGGATCCAGCAGTGTTCCCATTTTATTTACAACAATCCATTTACAATTGTGCTGATGGTGTGCCGGTGGATGTGCTCAAGCAGTGCTGAATCTAATTTCGGCACAATGTGATGAGTGACTTACCCCTTGGGTTGCGTGCACTTGAACTTTTTCGCGGCGTCCCGCTGACTTATCAAATCTTTGTTGTTGAACGTATTGTGTTGCGATTGAAGCCCTTTTTTGTTCATTATTTTGACTGGTTTTCCACTACCCCTCTTCCGAACTGTGATGAAGGATGCCAGAATGCGATAAACAGTAGAAATTGGTACATTCTCTGATTTGAAATGATCCACCGTAAACTTTTTCTGTACAAAGCGCTCACGAAGTGCTTCTTGCTTTTATGCCATTTTGAACACAAGGGAGAGAGCGAATTGATTTCCATAAGCTGTCTCTTTTTTGTTGACATTTGTGGTTTGGTATGAGAGAGCTGAAGCTATTCTAATTTTTTAGTTATCGTCCGTTATTATAATAAAACAACTGAATTTAATCTGAAATTTAACAACACAGTCTGAGTGCTCGTTACTAGTTTTATTTGAATGATCCGATCCAATTCGAATATTGTTTTTGGTTACAATGTATCAAACTAGAAAGATGCTATAAGGGTAAAACTTGTTTTAGTGGAAATTACGATCGACCGCTCACCATTTTTTATGAATGAAAAAACAAATTACTATTTATTTTATTTCTTCAAAGATAATTTATATTTTAAGGATACATTTTATCAGTATCATATAGCATCAAACGATTTGCAATTATTATATATTTGGAGTGCAAGAATGCGTCACATTTTATTGCAAGTTCATTGCATTACTATTAACAACATTGGCAATCTAATTGCGGACATAATTTGTCTATTGGCTTTGACTTTATTGGACGAAATAAAATATTTAAAATTTGTTTTTTTTATCAAAGTCATATTTTCCAAATGGTGCTCGCATAAGATACTAGGATACTAAATAAAAAGATATTTGTAGGGTAAGAAACACTTCTCCGAACATTAAAAAAAACTTGATCATTCATTCTAGTCTTATTAGCCATACTGTAAAAAATAGGAAACTTGAAGCTATGCCATCATATTTGTAGGAACGAAGAGACGAGATTTTGTAAAAAAAATGATACTTGCTTTGCTTAATGTTTTTTTTGTGTGATTATTCAAACAAATATGCTTTCTCTGTCTCTCTTTTCGGTAAAGAAAAATCAAATTAGTCACACTGCACATCAACAGAACGAGCAGAATATTAACAATGAGTGAATGCCAATTAGTAGACGAAAACATTGTAGAGAAAGAAAAAAAAAACAGCGTAGACGTTAGACAGGCTGAAAGCCACCGATATTCACAAATACTTTAGACATATAGAGACACAGATAGGTGATAACAATGAACAGCATCAGGAATAGGCTATCGCCCTCCCGCGCATAGTGTCATATGGTTGGAGGGGGAAGACTACCGAACAAGTTCGTCCCTTTGTTGATGCAGTTGAGCTGTAGCGTTTTTTAGCGGGTAAGTCCAATCTTGGTATACATATATACGAGGCAATACTCCTTGCATCATGCATATTCAAGTTTTAAACTACTCTTTGTCTGCAAATTTATCGCCAAAAATTTACTCATTTCTAGCATGTGATACACAATAAAGTCAACAATTTTGCTAACAGAACCAGTGAACGTTTGTGGGTTTACTAGAAAGAAAAATCCCTTCGATTGTACCTATGTATATTGAAATGGACGTAATGCCAGTTGCGTTACGAAACGAAACTTCTCCACCGACAAAGCTTTGGAATTGAGCTTTGATGTTTTTCCTTACTCTGTGAGAAAACAACGCGAAAAAAAAAGTTGTAGAAAGCATTTCACCCATTTTGTCAACTAAAACAATTAAATCAACTTACTAGACAATTAGTGGAACTTACTAAAAATTAGTGAACAAAATGTTCCAGTTTGCAAGGAAACAAGTGAAAGCTTTCTCATTTTAGAGTTAATTCCTGGGTTTGTTTACAATGCCGATGAAAAGCTTCCTTTCTGTGAGAGCGGAGGAAGAAGAGAGAAAAACATCGCACCTGGGGCAGCAGAAATTTTTATCGATTCTGCGTGCTTTCCACGTGGTTGTATTTTGTCTTGCATCGATGGAAAACTAACCGGCAGGAAAAAGTATCGCCATCGAAACCGCTGAGAGTACATATTCCTACTTTCCCAATTGTTGCGGCACCGTTGCGTTCAAAAATATACCTGCTCCCAAATTACGGTGTACTACTGATCTAGCTGTACGAATCAAAGTGGGAGCAAGGGAGACACTAAAAACTAAGTTCAATATGATTTATTATGTTCGATCAAACCAAATTCATTTGTTATGTTTACAGTGCACAGTGGGGTGCTTCATTTTCAAAAAAATATTTGTAATCTTACAGGGTGTCTCAGAATAGGTGTCACTAAAACAAATTTAATTTACAGCAAAACTAATTATTCAATTTAAACATTTATATACCATTTGAAAGCTACACATTATACAAACACGTCATACTGAGTCAAGTCAAATCCCTAGTGGTTTTCGTTTAGTACTTAACGTAATCGGTTTGCAAATCCATACAGTGCTGTATTCCTAAAATTTGTGCTAAGTAGTCGCACCTGCGCCCTTAACATATAAATCTGCCTAAAATAACGATGCGTCCGCCCCTGACGTTGAAGACGTTGTTTTAAATAACTTATTATCTAGTTGATATGGTACGATGCAAAACATTTACACTTTATTGATGCTGCATGATGAGCAGCACCGTACTCTACAGGTGGCGAAGGTGGCCACACAACAAAAACCCGAGGGCGGAAACTCGCTCTAATATTCCTTGAACATCTACAAAGTCCCTGTATCCTTACTTCTTGAAATTGTGATGAATTTCCAAAAGTTCTTTCAACATTTCCAAGCACCATATTTTTTTTTGTTTTCTTATTTATCTCATATCATACTTTACTTTCTCAAAATTTCAGGAAATACCTTAAACAATTTCTAAAAAATTTCTTAAACATTCGTGGGAAAAATCTCGGGCCAAACAAAGTTCCCAAAACTACTAGTAAATAACCAAATCAAAACCTCCACAGTATGAAGCTCTTACTGCGCTAACCAAAGCAATGGCGGAGTTTTGTTTCTCCGAGGCACTCGGTCACCCTTATTAAGTTTAAGTACGAGACTAAATAAGGGCAAGATTATGGATATGATAATACCACAGACAAACAGACGTAACTCTTCATTGTGTATCTTCGTTCATGCATTTAACGGTTGATTTGAATATTATCACTTCCGCGAACTACTCGCCACAGCGCTGGCATCGGATCACTTTGACGTTTCTATATATTCTATAGAACTTTTATGCAATATTATTTACGAGTTAGCGAGCAAGCTTGTTTTCCGCGAGAAGCCAGAGAGATGTCGTTACTGAGGTTATATGTTTTGAGATACTATGTTTTCAAGAAGAAGTTTTTCAAAGAGTTACGTCTGTTTGTCTGTGATAATACTTAAATTAAAAAAAAAATTAAATACTGCGTTCAACTAAGAATACCTCTGGCATTTTAAAAATAATTACCAATTTGCTTACTACCTTACTGTTAACTTTATACTGAAGGTGGTGGATTTGGACATAGTTATCAATTATGATTACTGTTAAGATAGCATAAATCAATCTACAGCATAATAGAACAGCAATGATAAATATTTGTAGATTAATGCTAAATGGCACATCCCATATGACTCTCGTACAACAACCTTACTTTCGTAAAGGAAACTTTTTTCTAGGAATCCGCGTGAACCCAACTTTTGCTAATTTTAGCAAAAGTGGAATCCCAAACTCCTTGAGCATTTGTGCGTGTCAATAACGCAATCGTAACTATGCAAATCAAATCAATCAGGTTCTTGTTTCAGACGTTCCCAAGAGCTCGTGGAATTACTTCCAAAAGTATTAAATCATTCAGAAAATATTACACTTTCTGAAGCCAGTCTATCCTTAAGCGAATCAACATTTTCCCTACTGAACTGAAGCTTCTCTAAAGCTATTTAATATTTTATGAGCTGAATACACGGATCCAGTGTTTCCAATTTTTTCCGAAGTGATTTAGAACTTTTGTAAAGTTCAGTACTGTTCGATGTGATTTTGAACGTGCTAAGCTTTTCTGAAATGGTCCAGTGCTTTCCAAAGTGATTCTAAGCTTTTCTCAAGTTATTCAGTGCTTTCTGGAGTGATTCTGAACTATCCTAATGCAATGTTATGTCAGTATAGATAGATCTCGTTTTTGGAAACATAGCTACAGTGCACTCTCTACAACTCGATATTGGAGGGCCCATCGAGTTATAGAATAAGAATCCCATACAAATTCCCTATCGCAGTAGCCATGACATTCATGTTTACCATGGTTACAATGGGCCGTATGAATAAAAAGAGTTTACTTTACTTTCCCGTGCTTTTCTTACGGGAAAAGTAAAGTAAACGCTTTTATTCATACGACCTAATAACTCGATATCGAGCTAGTGAACATCGAGTTGTGGAGAGTTTACTGCCAAAATCAAGAACTTTTTCGATGTGTCACAATTGAGTACTAATGTGGCCTAGCGATAAGAATCAATCTTCTCTTAAGTGAATTCTGTTGAAAAACTATTGAAAAATTGATGGAGTGAGCACGATTTCTCGGTTTCCAACAAAATGAGAGTCACGTATCCATTCACTAATTAACCTGCATTTGGACGCGGCCAGCGCTGTTAGTATGAGATCACCAGTTTTTACATATTGTAGATGCATGCTAGTCCTACGCATCGTTAGTTGCTTCTCTGTGTAATACAGATAATCTGGTAATAACGGAGTAGCAACCGAGAGCGGTTGATCATTTTCATGCTAAATTATGTCTGTACTATCCGAAGTGATTCAGTACTTTCTGAAGCTTTTTCTGTAGTAATGCAGTACCTTTCAAATTGATTCCGAAATTTTCTAAAGTGTTTCAGTACTTTTAGAAGAGATTTAGAACTTTTTTTAAATGAATCTGTGTACCCCAAAGTAATTCCGATTTTTTTAAAGTGATTCCAAACTTTTATTTTTTTTTAATTACTTTATTTGTACAGGCTCAATCGAATAAACTTTACAGAGCCAAGTTATCTTTTTTTTTATACATTATAAATGTCTTAAATTTAAAATTTAAGGATTTGAACCGATTACTCGCGGTCTTTTCGAGGTTAGTGGATGACAATTGTTTGGATCGGGAGAGGGAAAAGGAGATTTGGAATATGATTTATGATTCAAAAATTTCACTATTTCTAAAACATATACTTAATCCTATCGACGTTATATCAACTCTGTAATTATACAATCATTACAGAAACAAATCTACAAAAAAAAACACACACATACACACACATACAAAATACAAACTAAACACAAGGTTAATCAAACTTACAATCTATGGTTAATATTCTTCAAGAAAACATATATGAGTTGCATAAACTCCAGATCGCGTCTAGCCAAAATATCCCGAACTGGAACATTAGGTTGTCTACCTCGAGCCCGAAGGGAATCGTACAGTTCAGATCTGACTCCACGGTGCTCAGCACAAGACCAAATAATGTGATCTGCGTCCTGATAACCTTGTCCACATTCACAGAGATTGCTGTCCCCCAGCCCAACACGGAACAAGTGAGCGCTTAGTGAATAGTGATTGGACATGAGGCGAGACATCACACGAATGAAGTCTCGACCCACCTCCAAACCTTTGAACCAAGGACACTTCGACACCTTAGGGATAATTGAATATAAATATCGTCCCAAACTCCCTTCACTCCATTTATTTTGCCAGCTGGCGAGTGACTGTTGACGATAAATGAAGAAAAATTCGTAGTAGGCGATTTGTCGATCGTAAACATCGCCTTCCATAGCGCCCACCTTTGGAAGCGAGTCCGCCTTCTCATTGCCCGGAATCGAGCAATGAGATGGGACCCATGCAAAGGTGATGACAAAAGATCTTAAAGATAAAGCACTTAGAAGCTCTCGTATTTTCAAGAGAAAATACGAGGAGTGCTTTACCGGCTTCATAGAGCGAATAGCCTCGACAGAACTGAGACTATCCGTAAAAATAAAATAATGATCTGGTGCAAGTGAGGCGATCGTTTCTAGCGTATAATGTATTGCCGCCAGTTCAGCAACATATACGGAACAAGGGGCATGAAGCATTCGAGAGGCGCTATGAAATTCGTTATAAATACCAAAACCAGCGGACGCCTCTATTAGTGATCCATCTGTGAAGAACGATCTTGCGGAATCAACTTGGCCAAACTTTGCGGCGAAAATTGACGGAGCAATCATGGAACGATGATGCTCTGGGATTCCGCGAATCTCTTGCGTCATGGATAAATCAAAATGAACAGAATTGTCGAAGTCGGAGAAGCAAACACGATAGGGATTATGCTGCGAAGGGCTGACATCCTGTGTTATGTACAAGAAGCTTCTCAAAGTTTGCAATCACCAGTGGGTTCATAATTTCACAACGGGTGAGGAGCCTGAGGGATAATTTCGAAAACTGATCAGAGAGTGGCAACATGCCTGCTAACACTTCGAGACTCATCGTATGAGTCGAGTGCATGCATCCTAACGCGATACGAAGACAGCGATACTGGATCCGTTCCAGTTTGATGAT